CACATCTCCCAGTCAGCCCTGCAATCACAAGGGTAAACTACTGAAACTCTACATTGTACTGTTGCTGGAGTTTTGGGACATTGTATTTTTGCATCCATCTCATCACGTCTACAAAACACCCATCTGTGTCTCCTGCTTCTGTTGAGAAGGTTAATTACTCTTGAGATGAAACTCAAGGTAAATGCCTAGCATGAAGGTGCCAAGCAATTGTATGCATTAGGACCTTCTCAATCAACAGTCAGCCACATTAATGGTCAGTATTGGTTAAATCTACTGTCATCATGAAGAAAAGAGATGGGCCAACTGGTAACATGGAGAAATCACTTGTCATGTGGACAGAAGACCAAATACAGAAGTGCACACTGCTTCGCCCACTGCCAATCCAGGCTAAGGCAAGAAGTCTTTTCAATCCACTAAAAGAGCATGCTGATGATCCAATGCATGCAAATGTCCACAGAAAGTCGTATGCTTGAAGACTCCAATGCTTCAAGAGTCACCGTAATTTTCATGTGAAGGTCAGCAGTGAGGCAGCAAGTGCCAATACTGATGGTGCTGAAGCTTTTAGGAAAGAGCTGCATAGGATAATCGTGGATAAGAAATACTTGCCAGAACAAATATTAGAGGTCAGTAAAACAAGCTTGTTCTGGAAATGTATGCTGGGGCATACATGCATTAGTCAAGAGCCCAAGACAGTGCCAGAATTCAAGGCACTGAAAGGTCATGTAATGCTACTTGTGGGTATTAATGTTGCAGATTTCAAATTAAAGCCTTTCCACTCTACCACTCTACTCTACCACCTAGAGTATGCAAGAATGTGAGCAAGTATGTGCTTCCCATTTATCATCGCCATAACAAGAAAACCTGGATCACATTAGCACTGTTTAAAGACTGGTTTTTGAACTGCTTTACTACATAGCAACAGACTATTGTAGGCAAGACAACACCCCACCCATTCAAGATTCTTTCGGAGTTTCGGAGTCTGTGACTCCTTCTCTCTCTGACTCTCTCCTGCTCACGCTGTCTCTCTCTCTCTCTCTCTCTCTCTCCTAGAAATAAAATTTAAAAAAAAAATTAAAAAAAAAAAAAGAAAGTTTACAGCAAACAAACTGATAGAGGTAACTGCCACTATCAGCAGTGAGTAGGGATGTTAGAAGAAATAGATATCAGTTACAAGACATTAACAAGAGCTGACAGGCAGATACAGGACACTGTTGCTTGCTATAGAGAAACATATAGTGAAAAGAAGAAACAAAGTGCATAATCAAAACTTGGTGTCTTCCTAAGGAACACTATACTGGTTGAATCATCAACAAGCATGATGCCCTGGTGCCTTCTACCAGCTACTTTCCTTCCGAAGATAGAGAAATCGATGATCTCGTCTCTGTAGCATCCCCATTATCCAGCAATTAATTTTAGTTCCGTGTTTCAAACATTCTTTAGGCCTAGTGTGCTTTCAGCTATGTTTATGTTAACGGTAAATACTCATACAATCATTGTTTTGTTTTTCACTTTCAGTATAGTATTCAATAAATTACGCAAGATAGTCAACACGTTACTATCAAATAGGTTTTTTGTGAAATGATTTTTCCCAGCTGTGGGCCAACGTAAGCATTCTGAGTATGTTTAACGTAGGCTGGGCTAAACTGTGATGCTCAGTGGGTTGGATGTACTAAATGCATTTTTGACCTTGATATTTTCAACTTACGGTGGGTTTATCGACATGTAACTCCATCATAAGTCCAGGAAGATCTATACAGAAGTTTGCAAAAAAGGAAATGTTAACAGGAAAAACAAAACTTGAGATTTCAAGAAGAAAGAACAATGGAATGGATAAAAGTAGAGGTAAACACATTACACTTCTCATAGGTTGTATAAAAATTGTTTGATAGTTGAAGCAAAAAAGAACATCATCCAATATGATGCTCAGTGTATGAAGAGGAAATACTTCTGTAAAAGGACCCAATGAAAATAAGGTTTCTACACATCAAAGTGCTAAGATGTTGATACTGTAGGCTGTAATAAAATTATGTATGTATGAAATAATACCTAAAATAACCAGTAAAATACGAAGACATATACTCAAAATCATCACAGATATATCTAACAGAATTCTAAAAGTTAAAGTAACTCACAGGAAGGCAAAGCAAGAAACAAAAACAAAACAAAACCCAAAACAACAGAGGAAAAATAAACAGGGAACCAAGAAAAACCAAATCATAAACTAGCCGACTTATGCCCTAACATTTCAACAATTACTTTAAATTTAAATGGTCTAAATACAGCAATTTAAAAAAGAAATAAGAAAGTAAGTAAAAAGAAAGCATGACCTGAATATGTGCTATTCACAGAGGCTCACTTCAGATGTGATATAGACAAGTTTGAAAATTAAATTATGGAAAAATATAAACCAAAAAATGCAAAATATTAACCAAAAAATGCAATAGTGACTGTATTAATATCAGATAACGTATACTCAAAAAAAAAAAAAGTTACAGGGGCAAAAAGAGACATTACATAATGATAAAAGGATCAATACACCAAGATGATTTAGCAATCCTAAATGTGGATGCACCTACAACAGACCTTTCAATACTCAAAGCAAAAACTGATAGAACTTAAAAGGGAAAAGACAATTCCAAAATTATAATGCAGGACTTCAACATCCCTCTCTCAGCTCTTGATAGAAATACTAAACAGAAAATCAGCAGGGACTAGGAAATCTGATTAACATCATCAACCAACAACATCATGTGGACATTTATAGAAACACCACCCAACGACAGTAGAATACACATTCTTTTCAAGCAACCTTATAGGAACATTCACCAAGATAGACCATATCTTGGATCTTAAAGCAAACCTCAGCAAATTTAAACAGCCAGATCAAATATAAAACAAACCAGACGTCATTAACAAAAAGAGCATAAAATACTTCAAACGCTAGAAAATTAAACAATATACTTCTAAGTTATTTACGGGTTAAAGAAGTCTTGACTGAAGAAATTATTAGAACCAAATGAAATGTAATTAAAATGTATTGAAACTTGTGAGGAAAGTGCTGTGAAGGAAATTTATAGCATGTAAGGCTTACATTAGAAAAGTAAAAAATCTCAAATCAGTAATCAAAGCATCCGTCTTAAGAAACTACAGAGGAAAATACCACCAAAGCAGGTAGAAGAACAGATATAATAAAGATCGATACAGAGATACCAGTGAAATTAGGAACAAAAAGATAACAGAGGAGAAACAGTGGTATAAAGTGCTGCTTCTTTAAAAAGATAAAAAAATTGATAAACATCTCAGAAGATTAACAAAAATAAAAAGAACCGACACATTTCCAACATCAGGAATATAACAAGAGATATAGGTACAGATTCTTCCATCATAAACAATATAAAAAAGGAATACTTGAAACAAAAAAGAAAATTTAGATGCAATGGAACAATTCCTAGAAAAGGACAACTACAAAAATTCATCTAATATGAAATAGATACTCTGAACAATTCTATACATATTAAATAAAATAAATACATAATTAAAAAGCATCCAAAAGAAAAATCTCCAGGCATAAATTGTTCACTGGAGAATGCTACCACACATTAAAAGAACAAATAAAACCAATTCTATGCACTATTTTCCACATAACAAAGAACACTCCCAATACATACTGGGAGGCCACCATCACCTAGACCCAAAACCAATGACAGTACCAAACAAAGACAAAAAACAAACAAACAAACATGAACAAAAGGAAGAAAACTACGTATCATTATCACTCACGAAATTAGAGAAAAATTTTCTCAACATACTAGCATATTGAATACTGGAATACAATATACAAAAATAATTATATAATCAAGTAGGGTTTACTTCAAGAATACAAAGCTGGTTCAACATTCAAAACTCAAATCAATGTAATACATCATATCAACTAGCTGGAGAAGAAAAAAATATGATTCTATCAATTGGCAAAGAAAAAGCACATGGCAAAATTCAACACTCAATCACAATAACAAAAAAAAAAAAACACAGCAAGTTAGGAATATGGGAAAATTTCTAAACTCGATTAAGAAATTTCTATGATCAAAAAAAAAAAAAAAAGAAATTTCTATGATCATACCTGACAAAAAACTTAATGTTCCATCCCTAATATCAGAAACCAGACAAGGATAGCTTTTCTTACTACTACATTCAACATCGTATTGGAAATCCTAGCTAGTCCATGAAAAGAAAATAGGTATACAGGTGGTAAGGAAGAAATAAAACTACCTCCATTTTCAGATGGTATTTCTATATTAAAAACACCCAAGCATTCTATCAAAACAAATAAATGCCTACAGTTCAGAAAGATTGTAGAATACCAAAATGACATTGAAAAATTAATTACATTTCTGTATACTACAAAAACTTGTGTGGAAACTGAAAGTTTAAAATCAATCTATTTATCATAAAAAAAAAAAGACCACCTAAATATAAACTTTATAAAAATCATTCAGAACCTATTATTGAAATTTATAAAACAGTGATGAAATGACAAGCAATACTTAAATAAATGTAGACATACCACATTCATGACCTGGAAGACACAACACCATAAAGAAGACAATTCTTTAACTAACCTGACAATTTAACTCAATTTCTATTGAAATTTGATACTTTTTTCCCCATAAAAACAGACAAGCTTCTCTAAATCTTTATGTGGAAATTCAGAGTAATGAGAGTGCTAAATCGGTTTTAAATAAGAAGAAAAAGGGGCGCCTGGGTGGCTTAGTCGGTTAAGCGTCCGACTTTCGCTTAGGTCATGATCTCGCGGTTCGTGGGTTCGAGCCCCGCGTCGGGCTCTGTGCTGACTGCCAGCTCAGAGCCTGGAGCCTGTTTCAGATTCTGTGTCTCCCTCTCTCTCTGACCCTCCCCTGCTCACGCTGTCTCTCTCTCTCTCTCCTAGAAATAAATAAAACATTAAAAAAAAAAATTAAAAAAAAAAAAAAAAGAAGAAAAAAAGTAATCATTTTATGCAACTAAAATATTTACCACCTAATTATAGCAATCAAGTGAACCAATAGTACAGGACCAAGAAAATGTCTGTGTATCAGCTCCTTAAAGCCACATGAAGAAAACATTTTTTTTTTTTTTAATCAAAGCCTTCAACAGTCTTAACAGGTGCAATAAGATGTGCCCATTCATATGTGTATTCTCATCTCAAGTATAAAGGTGTTTGATGGCTTTAGCCATTACATTTCTCACAAAAATTAAGCTCCTTGAGAACAGAGACAATGTTTTAGAACAGAGAAGACATTCATGAGTTTCTGAACCTGCCCTCAACTGTCTACCTCTCTTGATGTTGGAGAGCAATGAATGTATATACAGGACAGATAAAAAGTCTAGGTCCTTTATACCTCTAACAAAAGCCTCCTACTGCCAAGTAAACTAAGGAATCCATGACAAAGTGCCAAAGGCCTGGCAAGGAAGTCGGAAGGAAGCTGTGTTTGCAGTTCATTGTCTGTTCTAAGTCTATCCTTAAAAAACAAAAAAGAAAAAAAATTCCTGAGATAACACTGCAGTGTAAATTAAGGAAAAAGACACAACTGAAGGTTTTCCTACATGCACATAACCACTGGGTCTCTCCCTGGATGAGTTCTCAGATGAAGAATAAGGCTCTGGGCTGGAAGAATTTCCAGTATGACTCCTTAGAAGACAAAGGATATCCTGCAACAGAAGGACATCTCACAGGGAAGAAAACTGAGGGGTTTCTCTTTGGTATGAACCATCAGATTCTGGGTAAGAGGTTTCCTCAGTGGCTACATTCAAAAAGTCTTTCCCCAATAGGAGCTCTTGGAGGTTGACGGAGGACTGCCCACTCTTGAAGGGTCTCCCCACTTCTGTGGCGCCGACGCTGACGGGGTGTCTCCCAGTATGAATCCTCTGATGCTGAGTGAGGGAGGAGCTGCGACTGAAGGCCTTTCCGCACTCAGTGCACTCATAGGGCTTCTCCCCGGTGTGGATGATGGAGTGTCGAATAAGGTTTGTGCTCCAGCAGAAGGTTTTCCCACACTCGACACACTCATAGGGCTTTTCTCCACTGTGAATCCGCTGGTGCCTTGTGAGCCCCGAGCGGCGGTTGAAGGCCTTCCCGCACTCCATGCACTCGTAGGGCTTCTCCCCGGTGTGGATGCTGAAGTGACGGATGAGGTCTGCACGATTGCTGAAGGCTTTCCCACATTCTTTGCACTCAAAAGGCTTTTCTCCGGTGTGGGCCCTTTTGTGCAAGATGAAAGTGGAGCAGTGGGTGAAGGCCTTTCCACACTCGGTGCACACATAGGGCTTCTCCCCGGTGTGGATCCTCTGGTGCCGCTTGAGGTAGGACCTGTGGTTGAAGGCCTTCCCGCACTCCAGGCACTCGAAGGGCTTCTCCCCCGTGTGGATGACGTAGTGGTGGATGAGGGCCGCGCTCTCGCAGAAGGCCTTCCCGCACTCGCTGCACTCGTAGGGCTTCTCCCCCGTGTGAGTCTGCTGGTGCCACATGAGGTAGGACCTGTGTTTGAAGACCTTGCCACACTCGAAGCACTCATAGGGGTTCTCACCACTGTGGATTATGTAGTGACGAATGAAACCTGGCCTATCTCGGAAGGCTTTTCCACATTCTTTGCACACAAAGGGTTTCTCTCCAGTGTGGCTCCTGTTATGCAAGACAAAAGTAGAGCGGTGGGTGAAAGCCTTTCCACACTCGTTGCACTTATAAGGTTTCTCTCCACTATGAATCCGCTGGTGCTGGGTAAGGTGTGACTTGCGGTTGAAGGCCTTCCCGCACTCCATGCACTTGTAGGGCTTCTCCCCCGTGTGCACCATGTGGTGCTGGAGGAGATAAGTGCTTTTACTAAAGGTTTTCCCGCACTCTGTGCATTCATAGGGTTTCACTCCAGAGTGAATCCTCTCATGTCGAGCAAGGAGGCGTTTCTTGTTAAAAATTTTCCCACATTCCTTGCATTTAAAGATATTTTCTTCTTCTCGAATCGTGGGATCTTTACCTGATCCACATGTGTCATGGTCATGGACAACAACTCGCAGAGGGACTGACTTCTGTACAATCTTTGAACACTCATTATCAGCCGTCCCTATGTTGCCATGTTCAGAGCTTGATTTCCCATGGACCTTCTCTTTCTGGGGATCTAGCTCTGGTCTCAAATGTCCTTGCATTTCCAATGACCCATTCTGATCCTTGGTTTGGCCATTCTGGGAGTCTCCTACAACTCCTTGTATTGCTTGTTCCTGGAGGGGGTCTCCCTCAGACAGGGCTGGCTCACCAATGGCAGATACTATGGTCTTGGGTTTTCCTTTGTCACCTGAAATAAATCCAATACACAAACAGGTCTGTTGGTAATGCCAACACAGGAGAAAAATGAGCATTTCGGTGAGATGAACAACAAAAGAAATGAAGATGAAAACAGTGTTTCTGTGTCTTGATATCTCTGAATCCCAAGATAACAATTCCTTTCCTGATCCTAGGGCTGTTGATGCCATGGAAGGGAGACCCAGGGAAGTGGTTGGATTAGAAGACAAAGTGCTGGAGGGGAAACACTATCAGTTCCAGATTGGATAATTATACAAATGGATAACTCATTTGGGACCCCAGACTGTTCATGCTTAAGCGATGACTCAGGGCAATGGTTCACCACACTAGAAAGTGATGTGATGTGACGTGACGTGACGTGATGTGACGTGACGTGATGAGAGGGTTTACATTTTGGGCTATAAAATAGGAACTAGCCCTCTGGAAAGAGATGGGGAGGGGCAGGAGTCAGGCAGGAAATGATCTAATCAACTGTGCTTATGTAATGGCAGTGAATAAAACTCTGAACCCTCAAGCCAAGTGAAATACCTAAGGTGCCAATACTTCATACATGTATTGCCATACATCAATGCCATATAACAAGTCCCAGGGGACATGGTAGTCCATCTTTGGAACCCCTCCCAAAACTGGTCCTAAAAAACACCTGATGCGTATGTACTGGATGTGATTTACAACAACTAAGTTAAGCTCCAAGAGCTAAAGTAAGATATGGAGAAAGTCAAGAAAACTATATATAAACAAAATGGAGGTATCAGCAAAGAGCAAGAAACCTAAATAGAAACCAAAGAGTACAGTAACTCGTTGTCATGAGATCAAGTACTGCGCTGGGCTCCGCACTGAGTGTGAAGCCTGCTTCTCATTCTCCTTCTCTCCCCCTGCCCCTTCCCTGCTCTCTCTCTCAAAAGAAATAAATGAGCTTAAAAAAAAAAAAAAAAAAAAAAAGGATCCTCCTTTAAAAGTGACAGGAGAAATTAAGTCATTCCCATATGTAAAACCTGAAGAAGTCTGTTATCACTACATCTGCCCTGCAAGAAATTCTCAAGGAAATCCTGCAGGGCGAAATGAAAGGACACTAGACAGCAATTCAAAGCCATATTAAAAAATAAAGATCTCAGGGCGCCTGAGCGGCTCAGTCAGTTACGTGTCCGACTTCAGCTCAGGTCACGATCTCATGGTTTGTGGATTCAAGCCCTGCATCGGGTTTTGTGCTGACAGCTCAAAAACAGCCTGGAGGCTGTTTCAGTCTGTGACTCCCTCTCTCTCTCTGACCCTCTCCTGCTCACGCTGTCTCTCCCTCTCCTAGAAATAAAACAACAAAAAAAAAATCTATAAAAAAAAAAAGCTACTACTATTTTATTTTTTTTAATATTATTTATTTATTTATTTCTAGGAGAGAGAGAGAGACAGCGTGAGCAGGGGAGGGTCAGAGAGAGAGGGAGATACAGACTCTGAAATTGGCTCCAGGCTCTGAGCTGGCAGTCAGCACAGAGCCTGATGCGGGGCTCGAACCCACGAACCACGAGATCACGACCTAAGCGAAAGTCGGACGCTTAACTGACTAAGTCACCCAGGCGCCCCAAGCTACTACTATTTTAACAAAGGTTTACAACTATACTTTTGTTTTTTACATAATTTAGGAGACTATTTTAAAAAATATATTAATTAAAAGGTAGTGTTACTGTAACTTTAGTTTATAACTTCACATTATAACTCCACATTTAGTTTCCTACATAATTCAAGAGACTAATGTGTTTAAAAGAGTTATTAAATTTGGGGACATACAATATATAAAGATGTTATTTTGTGACATGACCAACTAAAAGAGATGAGAACTGTAAAGGAGAATTTTTTCTCCTGATATAAAATCAAATTAGTGTTATGAATTTAAGATATTAAATGCAATCCCCATGGGAACCACAAAAAAATCATCTACGGATAATATACACAAAAGGAAATGAGAAAGGAATTTAAACATTTCACTACAGAAAGTCAACTAACCACAAGAGAAGACAGTAATGCAGGAAATGAGGAACAAAAAATCTACAATGTATACAAAAAGCCAATATCAAAATGACAGAAGTCTCTCTGCATCAGTAATTACCTTTAATGTAAATGGATTAAACTCTCCAATTAAAAAACAAGGATTAGGGGTGTCTGGGTAGCTCAGTCGGTTATATTTCATATCAAAATATGGGGCGCCTGGGTGGCTCAGTCGGTTAAGCATCCGACTTCGGCTCAGGTCATGATCTCATGATTCGTGGGTTCGAGCCCCACATTGGGCTCTGTGCTGACAGCTAACTCAGAGCCTGGAGCCCGTTTTGGATTCTGTGTCTCCCTCTGTCTCTGACCCCCCCCCACTCATGCTGCCTCTCTCTCAGGAAAAAAAAAATTTTTTTTTAAATAAAAATATTTCATATCAGGGGCGCCTGCGTGGCTCAGTCGGTTAAGCGTCTGACTTTCGCTTAGGTCATGATCTCGCGGTTCATGGGTTCGAGCCCCGCGTCAGGCTCTGTGCTGACTGCCAGCTCAGAGCCTGGGGCCTGTTTCAGAGTCTGTGTCTCCCTCTCTCTCTGACCCCCCCCTGCTCGCGCTCTCTCTCTCCTAGAAATAAATAAAAATATTAAAAAAAAATATATCAAAATATATGAAGCAAAAAGCAACACAATGAAGGAAGAAAGAGACAATCCTATGGGAATAGATGGAAACTTCAATATCCCATTCTCAATAATGGATAGCACAACCAGACAAACTAGTAGTAAGGAAGCAGAGGACTTAACATAATAAACTAACTGGACCTAACAGACACATACAGACTATTCTACCCAACAAAAATAGCATACACATTCTTCTAAAGTGTACCTGGAACATTTTCCAGGATAGACCATGTTTGGCCAAAAATTAAGTCTCAACATATTTAAAAAGATATGTAAACTATGATTCATTTCTAATGAAAATGAAATTTTAACATATCAAAACTTATGGCCTGCAATAAAAACAGCATTAACAAGGAAATTTATAGCTATAAATGCTTACAAATTGATAGCTTATAATGCTAAATAACAAAAGAAATCTCCAACCAAACTAACGCCAACTTAAGGATATAGGAAAAGAACAAACTGAAACCACAGCTAGGGGAAGGAAGGGAATAATAAAGTTTAAACCGAATTGATATAGAGAATAGGAAAATAGAGAAAATCAATGAAACAAAAAGTTGGTTCTTTGAAAACATCAACAAAACTGGCAAACGTTTGGCTATGGAACTAAAAAGAAAAAAAAGAAAAGATTCAAAGCACTAAATTAGAAATAGAAGTGGGGACATTACTATCAATTATGCAAAATTTTTTTAAAAAGTTTTAAATTTTTTAGCTTATTTTTGGGAGAGAGAGAAAGCGCAGCGAACACAGAAGGGGCAGAGAGAGGAGACACAATCTGAAGCAGGTTCCAGGCTCTGAGCTGTCAGCACAGACCCCAATGTGGGGCTTGAACCTGTAAACTTTGAGATCACGACCTGAGCCAAAGTCGGATGCTTCACTGACTGAGCCACCCAGGCACCCCTGCAGAAATATTTTTTTTTTTTAATATTTTTATTTATTTCTAGGAGAGAGAGAGAGACAGCAGGAGCAAGGGAGGGTCAGAGAGAGAGAGGAAGTCACAGACCGAAACAGGCTCCAGGCTCTGAGCTGGCAGTCAGCACAGAGCCCGACGCGGGGCTCGAACCCATGAACCGTGAGATCATGACCTAAGCGAAAGTCGGACGCTTAACCGACTAAGCCACCCAGGCGCCCCATATTTTTTAAAAAGAGTATAAGACAGTACTATGAACAACTGTACACCAACAAATTGTATAACCTATATGAAATGGACAAGTTCCCAGAAACACAAAAGCCATGAAGACTAAATTAGGGAGAAACATAAAATCTGAATAAACCTATAACTAGTAAGGAGATTGAATTAGTAGCAAAATATCTACCAACAAAGAAAAACCCTGGCCCTGATGGCTACACTGATGAATTCTACCAAACATTTTACAAGAATGAATACCAATCCTCAAACCCTTACAAATTATTAAAGATGAAACATTTCTTAATTCATTAAGGCCATTAGTACCCTGACACCAAAGCCAAAGACATTACAAGAAAACTACAAATCAATATCCCTTATAAACAATGATGCAAAAAAAATCCCAACAAAATATCAGCAAACTCTGCAGTATATTAAGAGGATTGCAAACCATGACCAAGTGGGGTTTATTCCCGTAATGCAAGAGCAATTTGACATATGAAAACTGATAAATGTTAATACACCACATTAAACAGAATGAAGGGAAAAGCTCACACAATCATCTCAATTAACGCCGAAAAGCCTTTGACAAATTCAACATCCTTTCATGATAAAAACAATCAACAAACTAGGAATACAAGGAAACTTTCTCAATACAGTGAAGGTCATATATGAAACACTCATAGCAAACATGATATAGAATGGTGAGACGGAAAGCTTTTCCTCTAAGACCAGGAACAGGGCAAGGATATATGCTATCACCACTTCTATTCAACATAACACTGGAAGTTCTAGGCAGAGGAATTAGTCAAGAAAGAAATAAAAGGCATCAAAAATGGAAAGGAAAAAGTAAAATTATCTTTGTTTGCAGATAATATGATCTTATATGTAGAAAACTCTTTAAGACGCCATACCAAGTAACTGTTGGACTGAGTTCACCAAAGCAGCAGGATACAAAGTCAACACAGGAAAATCAGTTGCATTTTTATATACTAATAATAAATAATATGAAAATAAAATTACAAAGAAAGTCCACTTACAACCGCATCAAAAAGAATGAAATACTTAGTGGTTAGCCTAAACAACAAGGTAAAAGACATACAATGAAAACTACAAAATGTTGCTAAGAAAAATTAAAAATGTAAATAAATGGAAACACATACCATAGTCTTGGACTGGAAGTCTTAATATTCTTAAGATATGGATATAAGTGTCCAACTTGGCTCAGGTCACAATCCTACAGTCCAAAGGTTCGAGCCCCGCTTTGGTTTCTGTGCTGACAACTCAGAGCCTGGAACCTGCCTCAGATTCTGTGTCTCCCTCTCTCTCTCTCTGCCCCTCCCCCATCCTCTCTCTCTGTCTCTCTCAAAAATAAGCATTAAAAAAATTAAGAAAAGAAGATATTGACATAAGCCAAAGTGATCTAGAGATTCAATGCAATCTCTATCAAAATCCTAGACATTTTTTGCAGAAATAGAAAAATCCATCATAACATCTATATGGTATCAGAATGGACCCTAAATAGCTGAAACAATCTTGAAAAAGAACAAACCTGGAGGAGTCAAAATTTCTGATTTCAAAACTTACTACAAAACTACAGTGATCAAAACAGTATGGTACTGGCATGAACAGATCCAGACCACGGGAACAGAATCAAGACCCCAGTAATGAACTCTAGTATCTATCATCAAATCATTTTTGACAAGGGTGCCAAACCATTCAGTGGAGAAAAACACAGCGTTTACAACAAATGGTGCTGGGAAAACTAAGTATCTACATGCAAAAGAATGAAATTGAACCCTTATCTAACATCATATACAAAAACTTACTCAAAATGGATCAAAGACTTAAATGTGAGACCTACAACTATAAAATTCTTAGAGAACATAGATCAAAACCTCCACGGCACCGAATTTGGCAATGACTTCTTAGATGAGACACCAAAGGTATAAACAACATGAATAAACAAATTTGAGTTCATAAAAATTAAGAAACTGTGCATCAAGATACTATCAACAGAGAAAGAAGATACCCCAAAGAATGAGATAACATATTTGCACATCATATATCTGATAAGGGATCAATATCCAGAATATACAGAGAACTTAAACTCAACAACAAAAAATCCCAATGGCAGAAATGGGCAAAGGACTTGCATTGACATTTTCCCAAAGAAGATGCACACACTGTCAATAAGCATAAAAGATGTTCGACATCACAAATCATTAGAGAAATGCAAATCAAAACTACAATAAGTTATCATCTCAGATCCATTAGGATGGTTCTCAAAAAATCAGAAAATAACAAATACCGGAGGATGTAGAGCAATGGGAACTCTTGCGCACTGTTGGTGGAAATGTAAAATAAGATAATTTCTGTGGAAACAGTATGGTAGCTCCTCAAAAAGTTAAAAATGGAATTATGAGACAATCTAGCAATTTCGTCTCTTGACAGATGCCAAAAGAAATAAAATCAGTTTCTCAAAGATATTTGTACACCCATGTTCACAGAATTATTCACACAGCGAAAATATGGAAGCCACTCAAGTGTCCAATGAGTGATAAATGGATAAGCGAAGTGTAGGGTGTGGAATACCACCGAGCCTTAAAAAGGAAGGAAGACACATGCTACAATGTGAATGAAACTTGAGGACATTATGCTAAGTGAAATAAACCAGTCATAAACACACACATACAAATACTGCATCGATCCACTAATATGAAGTACTTAACAGCAGTCAAAATCACAGACAAAAAGTAAAATTGTGGGACCAGGGGCCAGGGCAGAGAGACTGGGGGTGGTTACTGTGTAATGGGGAAAGTCTTTCCAGTTTATACGAGGAGGAGCTGTGGAGACAGATGGTGGTGACAGCTCAACTTTATATTTAAAAATGGATAAAATGCTGGGGTGCCTGGGTGGCTCAGTCAGTTGAGTGTCCTACTTCGGCTCAGGTCATGATCTCACGGACTGTGAGTTCGAGCCCCTTGTCAGGTTGTGTGCTGAACGCTTGCTTGGAACCTGGGGCCTGCTTGGGATCCTGTCTCTCTCTGTCTGCCCCTACCCCGTTCACGCTATCTCATTCTGTCTCTCAAAATTAAATAAATATAAAAAAATGGATAAAATGTTAAGTTTTATGCTATGGATATTTTACTACCAAAAAAAAAAAGAGAATATAACAAGGAATATATAAAGAATCCCTACAAATCAAAAAGAAAATGCAAACAAGTTCATAGAAAAATAGGTATTTATCATGAAAGAACATTTCAAAAAAAAATAGGGTTGACCAATAATCCCACGATCAGGTGCTAAAGCTCCTCCTCGATGAAGGGGGAAAAATCGACTACAGGAGATACACTTTTGCATTCATTTTTGAGTGTCAAAAACTGAGGAGCCTTAGAGAATCAGGTACTGGGCAAAGTATGGGTGGCAGAAGCCTCCACCCTTGCCCACTGTAAGTGTAAATTGGCACGTGCCCTTTAGAACACAGTGGCAATTATCCAGTAAAAACCTGGATGTCTGCATAGCCCACAATCCATCAACCTCACTCCAAGAAACGTCAAAGATGCGTAACCACGTGCAAGATGACCGCTACAGGACCACCGGGCAGCGCCGCACGTGAGAAGCGAACACGTGACGGGGCGGAGAGCAGACGGATGCCACCGGAGCCAGGAACGTTACTGACCTTCTTCAACCGTAAAGGCCCTGAGCAGATTTTACGTTGAGTAGAGAAAGGTTGAAGTTACATTATGCAACAAACAGAAAATGGAGGAGGAAGAAATTTCCCTGAAAAGGTGCTCTACACTCCAGTTCAGGAAGTGGCCCCCGGTCAAGGGCAAGACCTCATCCGCTACACGGACGCGGAAGCTGCAGACACAGGAGAGCCCATGAGAGTGTGGAAGGGTCGAGGCTCAAGCTGGGGGGGGGGGAGGGGGGAGGGGCGCGGAGGTGCACTTCACTTTCCACGTGAGGACCTGCAGACACGCCGCAGTCACACGCTGGGGACACGTCCGAGGCTGGGGAAGTGCTGACCGTCAGGAGCAGAGTCTGAGCCCCTGGGGAAGCTCAGACGGACCCCGGCGCCGGGACTAGGGGCACCCCGCACACAGAGAGAGCGGTGGGGAGGCCGGCAGCCCCCAGAGGGGAGATGATCAGAGCGAGCACGGAGCGTGGGGGCGGGTCTGACGGAGGGGGTGCACGTGACCGAGAGGAGGCGCGGGGGCCCTAAGCTGCACAGGACCTGGGGACGGCGGGCGGGACGGAGGCACTGAGGGCGGGGGACGCGTGAGCGGCTCTCTGCGGCTGTGTCCCGTCTCCAACCTGGTGGGGCCGCAGGACCGGTCACCGAAACTTGGCAGGTGGAAGGAGGGAGTGACATCACGGGTCCCTCTCTGGGCGCGCGGACTCTAGGTCAAAGGGTTCCCCGGCTTCCAAACCACCAGAGGCCAGAACGAGACGCTTCCCGGGGGTCCAGGGCCCGCGGTCCCCTCCCGGCCTGGAGCCTGCAGGGTCTCCCACCTGCCCGCATCCTGGCTCCTACCTGGATAGGTGCTCCGGGACGGGTCTCTCTTCGCCGTCCACAGCTGCTGCCCGCGCTCCAGCTGGCAGATCAGCTCCGGTCGAGGAACAGGACACCCTGTTCACGGAGAAAGAAAGACGATGCTGGGGTTTCAGTGAAGAGAAATAAACCCCTTAATCTAGTCTGTAAAGAAGACCTTAGAATAAAGCTGCTACCATTCATACAAAATGCTAATATTCAAACCCAGAAACCAAAGGCAGGCCATACTGCCAGGAAGATTTCTTTCCCTCACAGAAAGTCAAAAACTAATATATAGAGTTCAATCATAAATGTCATAATACAAATATAAGGTGTAATGATAAATAAATATAATCATAAAGGCTGTGTCAGCACCTTAAATGCATTATGTCATTTCAAAACTGAAATTTATGGAGTAAATAAAACAATTGACATATTTAAAATATTGACTTCTTCATTCAAAACTAAGTATCTGTCTTCAGTGATCTAGGTCTTTATCTAGATCATAAGCCAAGGTTTGTATTGTTCTTCCTATAGGCCACAGACCAAATGAGTATTCTCAGGATTTCCTCACAGCTTCCTCAGCAAGTACCAATTGCAATGAGTACTACTTTGTAGATGAGGAAACTAACACTCAGGCAAATCATGTGATCTGCCAAAGTACACAGACCTGGTGAATGGCTGGGCCAAAACAGACACCCAGGTCCAGTCATATCCGCTCTCTGTGCCGTTTATCACAAAGCTACACAACACCGTTCCGGCGGTGTCGAGTCCCAGGATGAGGAGGATGATGATCACGATGAGAGAGAGACACTGGTGGCAGTGGGGTGAAATGCTAACCTGCACACCATCTGCTCACACCAGGCATTGTTCTGAGCTCTGTTTGTAAGTTACCCATTCATCCTTGCTACAGTCCAGGGAAGTATATACATGAGTGTTAACCCCATGTTACCAATGAGCACACCCAGCTGCGGTAACTAGCCTTTTAAGGGGCAGAGCTAGGATTGAACACCACTGGTCTGGCTCTGGACCATTGTCTCTCAAGATGACACCAAGGAGGAAACAGCAACACCCTTGTGTGTGGCCAGTAGCACCAGACCAAGTGTGGGGTGGAGAGATCGGACGGGAGCATGAAGATTCGTCCTCAGAGAACAGGGGCCAAGGGAGGGACAGACTCAGCGACTCTAGACTTCAACATTTCACAAACTACTAAGAAATAGTAAAACTGAGAATCCTATGCAGTGATACCATCATATGTGCCTTTATAGAAACATCAAATATTATACACTGTCATCAACATTAAACATAAAAAGGAATTTTACTACAGAAAAGGACAAAAACAAAGAAACAGAGAACAGCTTCATAAAATGATGTATGTTCCAGACTGAACAAATTAAGCTGTATGAGGGACTCACTGCAGTGACTGAGACTTCCGGAGGACTGCGATGCCACGAGATTGTGTGGGTGGAGCAGAACAGTGCCTGGGACAGTGCTCAAAACACCTGAACAGGCTCTAATATGAGTCACTTCTCCTAAGAGTGACCCACTTTTTATTTTCCTTAGATTCCTTCAACACGGGAATCTGTATCACTCCAGTAAGTGGGACACTGGAGTCACTGGCCTTGAAGGCAGGTTGTCCTGAAGAGGCAGCAATGAAATCAAAACCATCTTCTTAATTCCCAGTAAGCTCATGCTGCCGACTTGGGGATGCGTGCTCACTCTGTTGAAAGCGGAAATTAGCATAAATTGCGGGTAAGGTGTTAAGGTTCAGCACTGAACCCAGATGTTTCCTCAACAATAATCAGGAGGCATTAATCATTTCATGAAATGTCAGGGTGTTGCTCAATGTCAGCTGATGAAGTGTCCATATGCCCTGTGACCACAGGTTTTCTCAAACTCTATACAATGAACATTCAGGTCAAGATACTGTTTTTTAGTTTATTCATTTTGAGAGAGAGAGCATGAGATTGGGAGGGGCAGAGAGGGAAAAGGAGAGGGAGAGAGAGTCCCAAGCAGGCTCCGCAAGGTCAGCAGAACCTGATGTGGGGGCTCAAACTCAAGAACTGTGAGATGATGACCTGAGCTGAAACCAATACGTGGCTGCTGAATCAACTGAGCCACCCAGGCGCCTCAGGTCAGACGCTTCTCTGTAGGGAAGACAGGGAGGAAACTGTCCTGTGCATCACAAGGACATCTGGCAGCTCTCCAGGTCTCCACCCACTAGGTGCCTCTCCCAGCCCCATCCCAGTGGTGACAACCAAAATGTCTACAAACACAGCCCGGTGTCCCCCGGGGGGAGCACACCATCCCCGGTTGAGACCGCTGGCCTAGAAGGCCATAACCGGGATGATGAGAGAAAGTGACAGGGATGGGGCAGGGGCCTCATGAGATCTGGTGCCAGGACACAGCTGGCGAGGAGGCGGGGGCCGTGCCCAGAAGGAAGACCTTACGAGGCTGAAATGCCCACGAACACTCACCGGGCAGACACAACAGCAAGTCGAGGCCCGAGGCAGGTGCGCGCCTGGGGAAACCTCTAGACGCCGTGCACAGCCCGAGCCCTGGATCCACAGCCCTCCTCTCCCTCGGATCGAACGGCCTCCTGCTGACTCACCTCAAGCAGAGAAACATCTAAGCTGGCGTTTCTCAGCCAGGGCACCCTGGATTCTACAGGCGGGATCATTCCTCTTGAGGGGCCTGTCCTGTCCATCGAAGGGTGTCTCCAGCATCTCCGGACTCTAACCGCCAGATGCCAGTTCCTCCCACACCCAAGGCGGGACAGCCCAGAGCGCCCGCAGACGTTGCCAATGGCTCCTGGGGGCAAAACTGGCAACCCCCGAGAAGGACTACTCGAGCTGCCTCTCCCGGCCCGCCAGACGCCCCCGGCCCTGCAAACAAGTGACAGCCACGAGGGCACGCGAACAGGGAAGCCCCTTCACCGGGATCACGTTGTTTAGAGCCCTACCTGTCTACCTGTCGGCGCTGAAGGCGAAGGCCTCCCGGGGGGCCTGACTCCCTCCCCTCCTGGAGAGCTTCCCATCACTCCCCGCCCTGCTGAGGACACCTGAGCCAGCCAGGCTCCTCCCCCCCCACCCCGCCCGTCAGCTCCCCCTCTGGAATGTGAAATAAGAACCTCAGACGGAGGCCAGTCTGTCCCGGACACTGGGGTGAGAGGGCCACAGAAGCTCGGGCTCAGGTGGCCGGCCATGCCTGCCTCAAGGACACCTCACACGGCCCCGCAGCAGAGAAAGGAAGAGAAACCATACAAACATGCAAAGATGCAGAGGTGAGGACTCTGGGGGCCACGCCTGCAGCCAGAAGGTCCTCTCACAACGAGGCGGCAGGTCTCCCCCACGGGAGAGTCGGGAGGACTTACCCAGAGACACCAGAAGTCCACAGTTTTCCAGCATCACCTCCTGGTACAGGGTCCTCTGGGCCGGGTCCAGCTGCCCCCACTCCTCCTGGGTAAAAGTCACGGCCACATCGTCGAAGGTCACTGATACCTGGATGTCAAACAGAGGTAGGAGCGTTGGCCTTGGGGAGCTGGATGGGATCAGAGCTCATCCCTACCTCCCTGATAAAGGCACAGAGTGATCAAGGCTCGGATCGCCAAGAACCTTCTGAGCGCCAAGCTCTGTGCTGGGCTCAAGGGGGAGTGGGCAATGCTGTGGAGGTAACAGAGCTGTGTAAGGAAGAAGCCTCCTCCATGGAAGCCACCGGAAGGTCACACAAGACGATGGAAGTGATGGGTGGACTGGGAGATGCAGACACCATGGGCTCTGGGACGTCAAAGGGATGAGTAAATAATAATATCAATAATGGTAACAAACGCAGTACCTGAGCCTCACTGGTACTGCTAGCTGTCTGCCCCATGCTGAGGGCTTCACATCTTGGTTAAAGGGACTGTATGCATCCAGTTCTTCTTCTTCTTCTTCTCTCTCTCTCTTTTTTTTAATGTTTATTTATTTGAGGGGAGAGGGACAAAGAGAGAAGGAGTGACTCCCAAGCTGGTTCCACGCTCAGCGAGGAGTCCAACACTGGGCTCAATTCCATGCCTGTGAGTTCACAGCTGGTATCAGGAGTCAGACGCTTTACCTACTGAGCCACCCAGGCACGCCTCCTTTTTTTTTTTTTTTTTTAAAGTCCCCAGTTCTTAACTCATCTTGTTTCCACAAGTGTGGTCTTCTGACTTAAAAACACTGCATACGGAGCTTGCGTTGTTAACATTACTTCCGTCACCATATTCTACACGGTCTCCTGAAATGTTCAACACATACAAGACCACATTTCTGCATGTGACTAAATTGGATCCACGAATTAAATATAAGTAACTCAACTACTACTCCACTCTCAAACGGGCAGTCCAACCACTGTAGATGTATGATTTAAACACTCCAACACACTGGCTTATGGTTTTTCATCTGCAACTCCAGTGCCCACGTCTCTGTGCTTTCTAGCTTTGTCCTCTCCATCAGGGTTCTTGCATTAATATTTCAATTAAACACCTGGAAATTCCTAATAAACTAATTGGTTGGTACGAAGGAACAAACCATGCATCCATGAATTATTACGCGGTTCTGGTGCTGGATAAACTCACATTGCCAGGAGCATTTTGGGCTGGTAGACAAGCACAGAAGTGTATAAACTACAGCGTCCACGTGGACTACAAGGTGATAAAGTGTAAATTATGAAAACTTTGACATGCAATCACATAACAACGTATATGATTGGTTAGGGGCGAATATATGGATTTTCTTGTGGTCTTAAGTCGGAAATGTAGAAAAAATTAGAGAGCGGTCACTTATTAATCAAATCCTGGCCATTTGGGGCCGACAGTTACAGAAGTCATTGTTCAGCTTCCTAGACTGTCACTAGAGCTAGTATTCTGGCTTAAGGCCAAGTGTGACTTGGAGAGGACCGGTTTCCCAGGTTGTTTACGGCAGACACGGGGCAGGTGGCTGCAAGTTCGGGTCAAAGTTCTACTTTTACGTACAGTCCGCCACTCGTCCATTTGCATATCCAGTCTTCCATGGCACAAGGCTGGAGATCGAGTGAGTGACAAGCCCTCTCCACTCGTCCTACACAACACAACTGCAAACAGAAATCAAGGTCTCCCTCCACTCGCAGCTGCCCGGGAGCCCTCTGCGCAGCACAGGCAGCAATGCCCAGAACATCGTCCACTCACCTGCTCAGGGTCCATCCACACCGCCGCCATCACGGGACCCCGGGGACAGAGCGGGGCCCGGAGAGGCGCCGACAGAGGCGGGTCCCGCAGGCTCGGCCGACCGCCACCCCTTCCCTGTCCTGGGAGGGGTGACCCCGGCTGACTTTCGCACTCCCGGGTCACCGCGAGGCTCACGGCTCGTTCAAATGCGCGGAGGCGAGTCGCAACGCGCTTTCTCCTCCTTTTGGAAGAGCTGCACTGGAAGCGGCCGCAGCACAGCGACCCCTCCCCACAGCTGGCGTGGACGGAATCGTCGCACACAAATGACGTTGCTTCCAGGAGGCCTGAAGTCCCGCCCCCATGTCAGCGGGCCGCAGGAAATTCTTCTTTCGCGTCACTCATTGGCCCCGTTACTGCCGCGGACGTCCGGTGCACAGCCTTCTGGGTAATGTAGTTTTTGCTCTAAAACGGAGCCCCAGAAGAACGCGTTCCGGTAAACGTGTTTACCTCGTGGTCAGGCCCAGATTCCCCGTCAGGCCTGCTTCTTCACCGTGAACACAACCCAGGTTGACTGAGGAGAAAAGGCGACGCCGTCCATCCCATGCGCCGGGAAGTCGAGGCTCCGGAGGCGGGGACGTCCGCCTGGGGGACGGAACACGTGCTACGCCGGGAAACCAGGCCTTCGGCTGGGCTCGCGACTTCCCCGTGCGCCTCACCTCTTCGAAATCCTCCTGGAGTGGAGCCCGGCACAAGAACGGTAGGAGGAGCGAGCGCCAGGACGCGGACGCCGTAAGTTCCCCCCACGACATTGCGCATGCGCACCTCTGGCCCCTACCGGGGTCTGGTGCAGCTCTACCTACACGTGCTTTGGGGCCTTGACGCCTGCTGATGAGCAAGGCTGGGGGACGTCGGGACTCCGCGGTCGGGTGAAGCTCCGGCATTTCGATCTGTGTCTGATCACCGGCCCAGGGGTCCTACGTGGATACGGAAATTCGGGAGTTGTTAGAAAACAGGGTAATCTCCAGGTTCAAGAAAAGCCTGAGAATAGATGGAAATGAAAGGGGTGGGGCGAACGCTGTACAACCTGGCGTTAATTAGGTGCGGACAAGAAACCAACAGTCGTGTTAAGAATCCTAACAATGTTTTTGGAATTCTATTATGTAAAGTCTCGCAAGTCACCATCAGTGACTTCTTTTGTTTTCTTCTCATGACTGTGAATGTGGGAGAATAAAATTTCGTTTCTAATGAGTTCAAACTACATATGGTTATGCAAATAAGAGTGTAGTGTGCAGAAAATGCCCTCAAAAGATTTAGTTTTATGGGATATTAGCCAGAAAAAAGAATAAAATCTTGCCATCTGCAACAATTCGATGGACGTAGAGATTATTATCCTAAGCAAAATAAGTCAGAGAAAGACAAATACTATGATTTAACTCATATGTGGAATTTAAGAAACAAAACAAATTATTATGGAGGCGGGTAAAGAAGAAAACCAAGAAACAGACTCTTAACTTTGAAGAACAAACTTATGGTTACCAGAGGAAAAGTGGGTGAGTTAAATATGAGATTAGTTTTGATGAGCACCAAATGTTGTATGAAGTGTTGAATCACTGTATTGTACACCCGAAACTAATATTTCACTGTATGTTAACTAACTGGATTTTAAATAAAAACTAAAAAGAAAAAAGAGATTTAATTTTAAAAGTGGAGAAAAGCATAGTGACGGGATGTTAACAGAGTCAAGGATTAAGGTGAAGTTAATTTCCTAGAAGATTTTTTTAAAATAAAAGGCTGTGGGGGCGCCTGGGTGGCTTAGTCGGTTAAGCGTCCGACTTTCGCTTAGGTCATGATCTCGTGGTTCGTGGGTTCGAGCCCTGCGTCAGGCTCTGTGCGACTGCCAGTTCAGAGCCTGGAGCCTGTTTCAGTCTGTGACTCTCTCTCTCTCTGACCCTCCCCTGCTCACGCTGTCTCTCTCTCTCTCCTAGAAATAAATAAAACGTTAAAAAAAATAAAATAAAATAAAAGTCTGTGGAAGGGTATCTGCGTGGCTCAGCTGGTTGAGCATTGACTCTTGATTTTGGCTCAGATCGTGGATCCCAGTGTCCTGGGATTGAGCCCCACATCATGCTCCATGCTGAGTGGGGATACTGCTTAGGATCCCTCTGCCTCTCTCCCCTACCCTCTCTAAAATAAAATAAATAAAAATTCATATTTAAAAAAAAAGGATGGGGGCACCTGAGTGGTTCAGTTGGTTGAGTGTCCAACTTCAGCTCAGGTCACTATCTTGTTGTTCGTGAGTTGGAACCCCACATTTGGCTTGCTGCTGTCAGCCTGTCAGCGCAGAGCCTGTTTCAGATCTTCTGTCCCCTTCTGATGCCCATACCCCCCATGCTCTCCCATAAATAGGTAAAAATTGACAAACTTTAAAAAAAGGAGATTGTGGAGAAATATGGCTTAATTGGAAAAGACTATTTCTTTTCACATGTATTTGATATTTACAGTTAAATTAAGTGGTTTGAGGCTAGAATTTAAGTCAGATATTAAAGTTAAGATTTTTATATTCTTTTTGTCATAGGAGGCAGAATGTCTGGAATCAGTGGTGAGGAAAGCTATATATCTACTGGAGAATCTTTGAAATCCCTATTGTAAAGCATGTCAGAGAGTTTACATAATTTAGACACATATCACCTGGTAGTCAGAGTGGAAGCCCTACTTGACTTTTCTATGCTTATCTACTTCCCCAAAAATCCACCCGGTGATGTGACTTTATCCAGCACCAGAGCCGCGTAATATTGCAGGATTCCCATATACAAACTAGTTTATTAGGAATTTCCAGGTGTTTAATTGAAATATTTTAAGGGCACTGATGGACAATGCTAGAAAGCACACAGAAGTGGGCATTAGAGATGCAGATGAAAAACCATGAACCAATGTCTTGGGGCGCTTAAATTATAGATGTACAGTGTGGGGCTGTCCATCTGAGTCGAGTAGCTGAGTTACTTATGTTGTGGTGTTGTGCCCGAATTGCGAGTCCCAGAGACCTCCAAGGAGCCGGCACCGATGCAAATAAAAAAGGGTCTTTATTATAAGCTTTGTTACAAGCAGGGGCTCACCCACCTACCGGTGTCGTGGCAGCAAGGTGAAGCGAAGAATAGCGAACAGGGTTTTTAAGGAGTAAGGGATGGGGGTGTTACAGTACGTATAGCATCATCACATAAGCACCAATTACAATCGTACAGCACCCATGGTAACAGCTTTGACCATTCAGTATCTGTGAGGTGTTCGTTACTTTTGGTGGGACCCAATCATGACTTTTAAGAATACTTTGAAAATAACCAATTATGAGGTGAGTTCCAAGGGCCCACGTGGGGTTCAGGCAAGCGGTGAGAAATTGGCTGGTTTGTATAAAATAACTGCAGTTCCCAGCCTTGACTCAGACCATAGGAATGTTTTTTTGATTAGCTGACCTGAGGGCGGTCCGAGGATGGCTTTAGCCTTGAACAATCTGAGGCTTTTCCGGGAACTGGGACTGGGGCTACGTGCAGCCCGAGGTTGCACAAACGGAGGCCTTAATTTCAGGCTCTTCAGTGGGTGTGCTCACACACAGAGATGTGGTCCTGCATGTGTAGGAAACTTCACACGAGGAGACTGTGTATAATACAGCTAAGGGAGTAATATGAACAAAGCAAACTCCATACATAATATTTTTTATGTCAGGTGACACAGTGAGAAAAGCAATGCCTGCAAAAACGAGCAGAAAATATGTCTGAGCTCCCAACTGTGTCTAGATGTTTATTCTGGTGCAGTCAGCTTATCGTGAATGGAGGGAGTGGGCGACACCTGAAAGCGGGACAGAAGCATCCGGGGAGGTTGGAAGAGCGCTCTCTAAACTGCTGCCTGTGGAGGATGTGATTTCAGAAGTGATCTTACATTATTAGGGTGATCTATCTGATGCAGTCAGAACATGACACAACACAGAGGTGCTGGCGAATGCATCTGCGGATTCATCTGCAGTTGACGCGCAGTGAGACGTGTTATCTCAGAGATGGTAACATGCTGGATGGCAGTATAAAGACGGCGGTTATCTGAACGAAAACAGTAACTAGGTCTGACGGTGAGAGGTTGAGTCACCACCATCCCTGAGGACCCGGAGGGACGTCATCTTGGGATGCTCTCATGGGAAAGTTTCTACAAGAAATAAAGATTCTGCCCGGTCACACACCAACTCACGTAACTATCAAGACCTAGTACAAAATGACTCAGCTTTTATTCATTAGCATCTTTCATTTTAGAAGAAACAAAAGACAGACAAGATAGTAGAGCCAGGAGAGTTCCCTGGACAAACACAATGAAACAGGTGCGGACAGGGCTCAAGAAGAATCCATCTGAACAGATGGAGGCAGCACCCTCCGAGAATGGGCCCGGACCCAGGGGTGCTCTGGGATCTGCGCCAAAGGCAGCCGCTCCGAAGGCTCATATCTGAGAAGCTTGGAGATCAAGTCTTGGGCTCCCAAAGGTATGGACGGAGGAAACCTCACATCCACCTGATGAGGCCGGACAAGAAAAAAAGAGAAGGATGGTTAATTTCTGTACTCCATGTTTTCTGTTCCTTGAGTCCCTTCAAGGCACTCTTCTGGACCTTAGTCAACAAGCTTTATGGGCAGCCCAAGCTCTGTGGCCTCTCCCTCCCCACAAATTCCCAGAATGTGACCATCCTACCTTAAGGATGCGTCTGTAGGTCTCACTATAGGAAGGGCTCTCAAAGGGTGGACTTCCCACCAGCAGCTCATAGCAGAGCACTCCAATGCACCACAGATCAACCTTCTCATTGTATGTTTTCCTTTCTATCATTTCTGGGGGCAAGTAGTCCAGAGTCCCGCACGTGGTCTTTCTCCTAGAGGACAGCAGAGAAGGGAGCCCTGTGCAGAGGCCCAGTAGAGGGTAACCCCCCTTTTCTAGATTCCAGCGAGATGGGAGATGCTAGAAAGGCCTGAGAAGTCCACTCCCAAGCCTGGAAGTTTGGAAAAAGCAAGTTTCAATAAGGATCAAGGTTTAGGGAAGGTGAGTCCTGGGACCCACCAATTCCATACTTTGGAGTCATTCATACATTTAGCTCATAATCCAGGATGTTTTCATAATATTCTGGGCATCAAAAGAGATTACAAACTGAAGGTGCATCAAGAGAGACCAAGTAAAATTTCTGGAATTATGGAGCAATGATTCTTATTTACATGGAAACTTACTAGAGAAAGTTATATGTTAACAGAGATCAAAAGATAAAAGATGTGGTTCAACCAAATTCTTTCAATCTACAAATAAACATTAAATACAGGCATCCAAAAAAAGAAGTGCTCAAATACAAATGCAGGGTTTTATCTCGGTGTTACACATGGAATGGATTCAACTGGATCATTCCTTACTGGCACCCAGGCCCAGTGACTGACCTACCTCAGAGATGGGGTGTGCACAGACCAGCCAAAGTCTGCAATCTTCACCTCACCCCTGAGCCCCAGCAGCAGATTCTCTGGCTTGATATCCCTGTGAATCACCTTCTTCTCGTGGCAGTAAGTCAGAGCATCCGCGAGCTCCTCCATTATCTGAGGGAGCAAAGAAAAAGCGTCTGGAAATGAAGCCAGCTACGGTTTCCACGTGAGACAAAATACTCATGCATTTTATAATTGTAGTGGAATCTTTTGTTTTTAATTTGAGAGAGAGAGAACACGCAAGCAGGGGAGGGTCAGGGAGAGAGGACAGAGAGAGAATCTCAAGCAGGCTCCGCAGAGCCTGATGTGAGGCTCGAACTCACAAACCGAGATATCATGACCTGAGCAGAAACCAAGAGCCAGAGGCTTAACTGACTGAGCCACCCAGGCGCCCCTGTCGTGGACTCTTTTATGTCCTAGTTATCAACCCCATTACTTCCTTAAGAGAACCACAATTCTTGGTCGGGGACATGGGTAGACCCATTTTATGTGGTCTCAAAGGATGGATGCTAAAGTGGACGGAACCTCCCTTTTGCCCTAGCACAGCAAGGAGCTGGACCAGGGCGCATGCGGAGCCAGAGGACCGCCCACAGGACTGGAGTCCTAAAGAAATGATACAAAAACAGGAGGGAAAATGAAAGATAACTCATTCTGACAGCAAGCTGACCCAGCGCTGCCTGCTGGGATGACCGAAGCTCTGGGTCCCCATCTGGATCTCTGCAGAAATCTGTTGCCTCCTATTTCGAAGCCAGTTCTACTCATTTATTCAGTGAAGTCTCTCATAGGCTTTCAACATGCTTCTTCACATAACACAGTAGAGATTCTGTTGCTTACAACCAAAGAATCCAAATTCGTACGCACTAATTATTAATATTCTGGGGTAATTAGGGTATTAAAATGTGAAGTTACAGGCTGTCTGTGTCATCATATAAAAGTTAATAGAATTCAAAATAAAGGGAAAAAAGAAGCTGGGAACGAATCAAGCCACAAGCAGCGATCCCCACCTGCCCACAGTAAACCCACAGGCCCCAGAGCCGCCAGCCCTCCCACCTCACCGTGGCTGTGTGCTGCTCATCCAAAGTGCTGCTCTTTTGCAGCTCCTTGTAGAGCTCACCCCTTGGAGCATATTCCAGAATCAGGTACACCCGGGAAGCATCATGGAAGTAGTTGTATAGGCGCAAGATATTGGGGTGCCTGGAGAAAAGACAGGAAGGGTCAGACTCATGAGCCCCAACTCCTGACGCTATTAAAAGTGATTGGTCGTGGGGTGCCTGGGTGGCTTAGTCGGTTAAGCGTCCGACTTTCGCTTAGGTCATGATCTCACGGTTCGTGGATTCGAGCCCCGCGTCGGGCTCTGTGCTGACTGCCAGCTCAGAGCCTGGAGCCTGTTTCAGTCTGTGACTCCCTCTCTCTCTGACCCTCCCCTGCTCACGCTGTCTCTCTCTGTCTCCAAGAAATAAATAAACATTTAAAAAAAAAAAAGTGATTGGTCGGACAAAGGGCCAATTGTGCTGGGATCAGAATAATAGCCTGATACTGGAGTGTGTGAGGGGAGGGCAGGGGGAAGGCATCAGGATTTGGGGGGTCTGAAACCGGGAGAAGGCTTTATATGGTGTAAGTGGAGTGAACTGCAGAAAAAATCTTCCAGGCTGACTCAAGGTGGCCTGTTTGAGGGTAATTCGGGGGCAGTGCTGGGTTCAGGTGCCAGAGAGGGAAGAGAAAACAGAGGAAGAGGAAGAGGAAGAAGCCAGCGCTGGATTCTCCTGCAACGTGTCCTTACTGTAGATGCGCCTGGATCTCAATTTCCCTGCGCAGCTGGTGCTCCAGCCCTTCCTTTTCTATCTGCGACTTGAAGATGACTTTCAGGGCCACAAGGAAATGGCTTTCCTTGAGTCGAGCCAGGTACACGTTCCCAAATTTTCCCTTGCCCAGAGGACGCCCGATTTCAAAGTCCTCAATTGTGAAGCGCCGCCTGAGAGGAAAGGAAAAAGAGAGCCTCAGTTTGGGCAACAAGTCAGAGGGCAGTCACGGACTCGAACGTCCACCTTCCTCCTTCACTTCACCCCTCCCGCCCCCGCACCCCGTCCCCTGGTCAAGGGTGCAGCCCGGCTGTTTGGTCAACAGCTCTCCGCCCACGAGCCAACACTTCCCACGTGCAGCTGGTCTTCGTTTCTGGTCCCGCTGCTTCCTTCCAGAGACACTCACACCGGGGAGACGCCGAGCTCCAAGTGGCCTGCTGCAGCTACTCAGACAGACAAACAGAGGTCAACAAGCACTTCCCGCACCCCACCCCCGCCCCCACCAACTGACACCAGTCCTTCTCCACCTGTTCCCTGGTCTCGGGTCTGCTCCTCTTCATCTGCGGGCTGCACGCTGCCCGACTTCATCGCAGCGTTTGGGTGGCTCCCCAGGAGAAGAGATGGCGGCGACAGGACGCCTTCCTGAGTCCTTTGGAATTGTCCTCAAAAGGGGTGAAGATAGGCAGCACCCAGGCTGAGGCGCTTCCGGAGCCGACCTTCCCCCACGGAGCCTCCAGGCAGCGTCTGGACACCTCCGGAGACCAAGGAAATCCGGGGGGGCGGGCGCTAGGGCCCTTATAGCGGCGCCCTCTCGTTGGCTGAGCCAGCTGTTCCTGACCGGCTCCCATTGGTTAGATCTTCTGAGCGCGCAGGCAGCGTGTCCAATAGGAAAGGCAGAAATGGGAGCTTCCCCCCAAGCTTAGCCAATGAGATGGCAGGGCGCGGAGACCCGGCGCTGGAGCCGCTCCGAGTCGGTGGGGCACCTGTAGCCGGGGCCATGGAGCAGAGGGAATCTGAGGAGGGGGGCGTGGAGCAGAGGGTCTCGTGAACTAATTCCAGCATGAATCCATGAGCGTGTGAATGCATTAGTGAACTGACACAGTGTGCGTGTGAATGATTAGACACCAACCACAGGAAGCTGCCAGGGGGAGGGGTGGCCGTGAAGTCCACAAGCATCCAAACCACGTGCGAACCGCCTGGACCGGGCTGAGACGTCGTGTCCCATTCAGGCCACTCCCCAGCGATGTCCTCCGTCTTGCTCCCCGAAGTTCCTGCCTCGTCCTGGGATGCCCTGCAGCTCCTGCTGTCCCCCCTCCATCGCACAGCCCTTGGAGCCTCCCCAGCCTGCGACAGCAGGCCCATTGGCACAGTGGCACAGTCGGCTCACCCTTTGCCACCATGGGCTGTGTATTTGCTAGACTCTTAACCTTAAAAATACAATTCAGTTATTTTTCACCAGGGGGAAAGAATGTTTGGGAGCAGAGAATTACAATATAGGAACAAGGAAGCTACAGTAAAAACCATAGGGTAGCCCTCAAATGTAGGAGAGAAACGCTATTTTATGGAGAGGGAAGTTTGGGAGGGCTTGTTTTGAAAGAAAGTCCATTAGAGAAAAGCAACAGTTTAGTAAAAGACAGTTTCTCATTGGTTGAGTTGCAGGGGTGGTCAATTTCTTGTATGCGATGTTTATCTTTTCTCCTTGGGGCCTATAATTGATGATTCTTTCTTGTTGAGGATTCTTCTGTTGAGGGTCTATGATTGACATCCCTAGTCAGGATGTCAGAGCTCCCGTGTGGCCTCCTGACTCCATTTTATTGAAATTTCCTTTTATTAATTTTCAGAGACCCACCCTCTAAGCAGTTTGCCTCTGGGGTCTGAAATAGTAAAATTGGCCCACATGTCTATTTCTATGGCATATACAGACATTACCAAAAATTTAAATTGTATTCTTTTAGACGGGTAATGTAGCAGGAGAGTCATGACACTGAGGCTTTTCTTTCCAGGAAGCAATTTTATTCATGCTGGCACGGCTCAGTTGGGTTTCTACCCAAAGAACCGAGCCCCAAACGCCATGTGGTGTAGTTTTGTTTTTTTTTTTTTGGTTTTTTTTTTTTTAATACGTTTTCTATGGGGCACCTGGGTGGCTTAGTCGGTTGAGCGTCCGACTTTCGCTTAGGTCATGATCTCGCGGTTCGTGGGTTCGAGCCCCGCGTCGGGCTCTGTGCTGACTGCCAGCTCAGAGCCTGGAGTCTGTTTCAGTCTGTGACTCCCTCTCTCTGACCCTCCCCTGCTCATGCTGTCTCTCTCTCTCTCTCCTGGAAATAAAAATAAATAAATAAATAAATAAATAAGTTTTCTATTTCTTTAACTCCCATATATGGTAACACACAAACAGTGTGATTAAGTGGTCTCATGTTACAAGGTCATGAAGGATGTTGTCACCTGTATAGCCAGGTTGCTTGAGGTTTTTTTTTTTTTTTTCCATTCCTGAGGGAGGAATGTACCATAGTAACAATATAAATTCTTGGAGGGATATAATTTAAAAAGAAAAAATCTTCTCCCAACCCAGAAAACCTCCTCACAAAGATAGTAGAAAAATAAATAAAAGTTTATTACTGAATAAGCCTTAAAGGGAATGTGATGCCATATCACAGATAATTGCCAAGAGATGGAAAGTGAGAAAGATACCATTTCATAAAGCCAAGCAGACACTGGCTCTCCCAGTGTTTCCCATTACATATCTTCAACATAGACAATAATTAGTCCTCAAGTTAGAAAACATAATAGCACCATTTGTTACACATAGTTGGGCCTAAATTTACCTGGTAATTGGGGTGTGGCTATCTGCCCCTACATTAGTTTTCTATAAAGGAATACAAACATCTCATTTCTTGAGGGTAGAAAGTGGTGTTAGCCTTAAAAATAAAAGTCAGTTATTTTACCCACAAAAACGTTTTATTTGGAAATAGCACAGAATTGTACGCAGAGACACACAAACTACAGTGAAACCATAGGCAAATGCAACAAACAAAGAGAAGAGTTATTTTATGGAGGAGTGAGTTGGGAGGGTTGAACAAATTCTGCTGGAGGAAAGCAACAGTTCAAGATTATGGCAGTTTCTCATCGGCTGAGTTGCAGGGATGGTTGATTTCTTACAGGGGATGCAGGGTCCATCTTTCCCTGTCGGGGCCTGGAATTCACGATTCTTCCTGTGATTGACTTGGAGTGGCCCCATGAGCTCTACCTTCCAGCCTCCCAGCTCCGTTGTAAATTAACAAGGCTTCCTTTGTTAGTCTTCAGTTTTGCAACTTGGAGCCAGGTGCCCACCAAAGTGAGGCTCCTATCTTCCCACAGAAACTGATAGAGATGCCATCTCCGCTGATGTCTGCATTCCAAGGAGATGGCTCCGGAGTCTTTAGAGAAAGACCTTCCCAGAGTGAAGGCTTGTGGAGCTAGAGCTGCATTGCAGGGATTCAGGTGGGACCTGGGGAGTTAGGTAAATGGAGACAAATTGTGTAGAACCCGGTCAGCCTTTGTAAGGAGGTTTTAATTCGCTCCAGACTGTGTTCTAAAATGTACCTGGGATTTGTTTCCTCAGGTGTGGTAAGGCAGCAGATCTGGAAGGGACTGTGACCAAGTGAGAAGTTTATGCTCGCATCCCTAACAGCTGGGGGTTAGGGCATGTTACCCACGTTAGGGAGGTTCTGCGTGGCGTGGATGGAGGGCTCGGTTCTCGGATTCACAACGGAAGGTTTATGTGAGGATCTGCTCTCAGATAAAACCAGCCAGAAGGAAAGTAGTAAAGCACAAAGCTGGTTATTAAGGACAGTGCCTTCTCAAGGTGGGAGAATGAGGCACTGCCCTGAGGCTACAGGGGTCTTTTCTCTTCATGTAAGTGGGGTCTTGGGTCATGGCTGGAGCGGACTCTCGTAGACACTACTTCCAATTACTTGGGGGGACCCCCCCTCGTCGGGAGGGGGTCTTTGACCCTACAGTGTTCCTTCCTGAACCGTCTTGCCAGCCTTCCCCATGGCAGAGGGGGCCAAACTGCAGTGCAAATGCATTATGACCTGGGAGCTGCTCTGCACCCAGGGCCCCTGGTCTGTCATCCCTGGGGGGCTGGGAGGCAGTCAGGGAGCTGAGACACCCTGCTTGTCATGTGTAACCTACCTATCACCACCCCTGCCTCCAGCTCCTGTCTAACCACCTATTCTCCCAGACATACCACAGAGGAGCGTGGGGAGCGGGGGGAAGCAGCAGGTTGGCTTGGGAGGCGGCGGCAGCGACAGAGAAAGCATGGCCCAGCGCATTTGTCGGGTTTCCTGCAGCAAAGCAGGGCAGGACAGGTAAACAGCTTAGGATTGGCTGCTTTGAAAAATATGGTAGGGCTTCGGGGCCTAAGTGTCCTCCCCGTCTGGTTCCCGGCCCTCAAATTTTCTGGAGCCAGAGATGTGGGTAGTTTGCATGTGAAAAGCGAGGTCCTGGGGAAGTTGTTAGCTGTCTCTGATAACTGGCTGGTCCTGGGAGGGGCAGACTCTCCACAGTCAGCAAGACTCCAAATGCCAGAACATAGAAAATTAAAAATATATGTAGTTAGTAAACTGGGAAACAGATGACCATCTGGGGAGGTTTCCAGCTGAATGGTAATGTAATCTGATTTGTGAATTAAAAAGATCAAGCTGAGTAGTGTGTGGAAATTAGACTATAGGAGGGTCAAGAGAGAAGATCTATTAGACTGTTTTCCAGATTTGGGGGTAGGGGAGACACTGACTTAAATTAAGGTAGTGACACAGTAAGGTGGCTTGTCACAAAGTACAAACAGATGATCAGAAGGGACAAGTATTCAAATTAGTACAAAAATATAAACATGAATATAATGCTTTCACAGTATGGATTGTTATTTTAATCAACCCACACCCTACTCTGCTTCCTTTAAATGTTAACCAGATTTCTTTTTGTTTTATTTTTGAGGGGAGAGGGGCAGAGAGAGAGACACAGAATCTGAAGCAGGCTGCAGGCTCCAGGCTCTAAGCAGTCAGCACAGAGCCCGATGTGGGACTCGAATTCACTAACTGTGAGATCATGACCTGAGCCGAAGTGGGACACTTAACCAACTGAGCCACGCAGGCGGCCCTTAAACAGGGTTACTGTTTACCATTTAAAGGAAGCAGAGTTTATCACAACAGTTGATCAGAAGGGACAAGTAATCAAATTAGTATAAAAGTATGGACATGAATGTAATGGTTTCACAGTATGGATTATTTTAATCTACTCTTACCCCACTCTGCCTCCTTCAAATGGTAAGCACGTTTCTGATGATGCTATCATGTATCTGTCACAGAAATACTTTACTACATAGAGATGCTCACACCAATAGCACACTTTTGCCATCACAGAGCCTAAGCCAAGGGCCAGCACGGCAGACTGAGCAGAAATGTGTTAATTGAACAGGCTCTGGCTGCTCAAATGCTATCATCCCAAAGGACTGGCCCCTGACCAGCTCGGACAAGACAACCTGAGCCCTGAACACCTGGGCCAGGAAGTGATTTTACGCCTGGATCTGCAGGCCCCACTTGCTTCTTCAGTTAGACCAGATGATTGATGCTAACGGTGTGACTCACGGGGAATGGTGGGTGGCTTTTGTATGCCCGAGGCTCTGAGTCACACTGTATCTCTGCCTTCTGTGCCCCCCACCCCCAATACCCATGGTTGGTCATGTGCCTCAGTAAGAAACCCTGACAGGCACGCCTGGGTGGCTCAGTCGGTTAAACGTCTGACTTTGGCTCAGGTCATGATCTTACGGTTTGTGGGTTCGAGCACCGCGCTGGGCTCTGTGCTGACAGCCAGCTTAGAGCCTGGAGCCTGTTTCAGATTCTGTGTTTCCCTCTCTCTCTGACACTCCCCTGCTCACGCTCTCTCGCTCTCTCTCTCTCAGAAATAAATAAAACATTTAAAAAAAGAAAAGGAAAAAAAGAAACCCCGACATTAAAGCTTCGGTGAGCTTCCCTCTTTGGCGATACCCAAACATACTGTCACACCTTTGCCCAAAGAATGAAGCCCGTGTGACTGCGCTGGGACAGGACACCTGGAAGCTGGCCCTCAGTCTCCTTGAGCCTGTTACCTTGGCCTGTGTCCTGCGCTGCCACGGGCAGTAACTATTACAGCTGCTCTGAGTGAGGCAAATCCTCCTAGCAAACCATCAAGCCTGAAGCTGGCTTTGGGGAGCAGAGAAAAGCATTATGTACACACGCCATGATCTAGAAGCATGTTCCGGTAAAGGCTCGCTGAGGAAATGCTATCTGAGATGAGGGGTGAGGCGTAAGCGTGCACCGACTGGGCAAAGTCAGGAGGCAAGAGCCCATGGCAGGCGGGGAAGTGGCCACAGCAGGTGGGGGAAGTGCAGGGAACCAGGAAGTGACAGGCGAGACCAGCGATGTGCAAGAGGTGGGAAATGAGGCACGTCCCACACCAGGTAAGGCCCCGTGGATGGGCCACGTGAAGGATTCGGTGTTTATCCCAGGAGTGAAGGGAAGTCCTGAAGCGTGTTAGGGGGAGGGGGCGGGGCGGGGCGAGTCGTCCGTGACCAAGTCAGAGCCATATGTCATATCTCTGGCGTCCGCGTGGAGAGCGGACCGCAGAGGATCCAGGTGGACCTGGCTAGGAAGGCAGGAGCCGAGGTGTCAGGGGACATCTGTGTGGAGCAGGGGGGAGGCAGGGGATTGCAGAGCAGCGAGCTCTCCGGAGGGAAAACTTCACAACGCAGACACATGCCTGACACACGGACCCCAGCCACAGAAGCAGAATAAACAGGGACTCTGAAACGAGTCATCCAGTGCAGAGAGCAAGGCAGGAAGTGGAAGCAGGCAGAGGACCAGAGGGCCCATGCTCTCGACTGCGCTCCACCAAGCCAGAGCGACTTGCCCGTTTACACTTCAGCACGGACCCTTCAGTTGTGAGCAGGCCGATTACAGGTCGTCAGCCCTCAAAACTCGAGGGTGACATCGCTGAGGGCTCCAGAGGCACCCCCGCGCCCCACAGCTGAGGCGGCAAAGGCCGTCGCTGAGAAGAGAGGGAGCCGCACGCACTCCCCGAGGCCAGGTTCCCACAGCTGTCCTGCCTCATGTCTGTGGGGAGCCCTCCCGGCTGGAGCGCGACGGTCCCACGCCCTCCCAGTCACACGGACAGACCCGTCACCCTGACGAAGGCTGCAACCCACTAATTTCAAGTTAAGTGCACAAAATGATGCACTTAATGAATTTTCTATTTGTTGCAGCCAGAGGCAGAGTAGGAACGGTAGGAACAAAGAGATGAAAAACTGTGGGTGTGCGTGCTCCAGACACACGTCAATCTGGCCCTCGGCTTTATAGATAAAGGCAAACAAGGGCTACGTCTGCAAGTCAGACAACTGGAAGCCATATACACTTACATGTATATGTAATATACTACCTCTATTAGGCACATATATATATATGTGGCGAGTGAGTCCTAAGTGATGTGTATTTGTACACACACACACACACACACACACACACACACATTTGGAAGAAACAAAAGTCCTTTCTCATCAGCTCTCCCTGAACCTTGTCATCACTAAATTAAATCCTGGCTAGTTTCTTTTTTCTTTTTAACATGTATTAATTTTTGAAAGACAGAGCTCAAGCGGGGGAGGGGCAAGAAAGATAGACAGAATCCAAAGCAGGCTCCAGGCTCTGAGGTGTCGGCACAGAGCCCGACGTGGGGCTCAAACCCACAAACTATGAGATCATGACCTGAGCCAAAGTCTGACGCTCGACCATCTGAGCCACCCAGGTGCCCTAAATCCTGGCTAGTTTCTAAGTTCTACTGTGACTTGGTGATTTTTTTGGTTACAGTGGTTTACATAAGCCTTCAAAGTTGTGACTCTTAATTTGTAGTAACTGTATTTGCTTTATGCACAGAAATGTAACCAGCATTTGGTACCCTATCCCTCATTATAAGGAAGTAACAGAGCAGGCCTGGGGCTGTCCTTTGAGCTTGCAAGGTTTGCCCTCAGCTGGGGTTTGAGACCTCAGATAATGGAGGTTCCCCCCTCACCTGGGAAGGAACAGCTCAGTGTGCCTAAGTTTGTGGAAACAATGTCGCTTACACTGAACTTGCTACCCTTCTGGAAACCTAGAACTTGGTATGTGCTTTTGCACATATTCTCTCTCCAGAACACCAAGAGTCTGTAATGAACTTCTCTAGAATTTTTTACACTTGATCTTCACCAGAAGGCCAATAAGAGATCTAGAATTTTTAAAAATGTGTTTATTTACTTATTTTGAGAGAGTGAGCAAGTCAGGTGGGACAGAGAGAGAGAGGGAGAGAATCCCAAGCAGTCTCTGTGCTGTCAGGGCAGAGCCCAATTTGAACTTGAACTCAGGAACCGTGAAATCACGACCTCAACCGAAATCAAGGGTCAGACACCTAACCAACTGAGCCACCCAGGCGCCCCCTAGTAGACTTTTACAATCATGGTCTTAACTCCTTAATGGAGCTTAAATTAAGGCTGTCCTGTGTGATTTCCCAGAGACAGGGCACTTGAAGCTGGTCTCTGACGTCCTCTGGCCTTCTCTGTACTTGGTGCCTCTCTCCTTGGCTGACTTTGCTGTGATAAGCCACAGCCTGCTCCCGAATATGACAAAATGGGGAGTCCTGTGAGTCTTGATAGCAAAACACTAAAACAGGGTGGTCCTCACGACTCCTGATAAAATCATTCACTGTGATTTCTAAAACCTTACCCGTCTGGCCACACAGGCTGTGCAGATTCTCTTCAAGGGCAACATGCCATATACTGTGTCACCTGCATAAACAGCTTTGTGTAAACACTCTGTGAGGGGCCCAAATTAGAAGATACAGACATACTGAGGGTCTGTAAGGGGGAGAAAAAAGTGAAATGAATGAAATGGCTGCAAAGCGTCTGACTTGGGCAAAAAGGCAGAAGACAGTGGCCTTGACTGAGATCCGGGACACCTCAAACACACAACCCCAAACCCAAAAGCCTGCCTTAGCTGTTCGCTACCTCCCCGCCACCTCACACCCCTTGTCTATACTTTCTGCACAGTTCCAGCAGATTATATAGCCCTAAAAAGTGAGCTTGGTTTATCTCATGTATTGTCAAATGAGAAAGTAATCTGCAGACCAATGAAAATGGTCTGCTCTATTTCTCAGGGTGCACAAACTGGCCCTATGGGAGGCAGTGAGGTGCTTGGAGCATGGGTTTGGCAGCCAGCTCACCGGGCCTCCACTCCCCAATCCCGCACTTCCTAATCAACTGTGAAAGGAGTTCAACCTGGAAACGAGG